TCTCAGCTACTCCACCTCCCCCAGCTACTCCCTGAGCCCTTCATCCTCCTCCAACTATTCCCTCTGCCCCTCTACCTCTCAGAACCCCTATTGCCTCAGCTACTCCACCTCTCTAGCTACTCCCTCAGCCCCCAGGTATTCTACCTCCTGAACCACTCCCTTAACCCCCACCACCTTTCTAAGCTATTCCACCACCCCAGCCCCTCCCTCGGCCCCTCCACCTCTGGGGAGAACGCTGTGTGACTAAGTCCACGTGCTACAGAAGGGACTTAATGCCATGGTGTTGGGTAACACAGCCACACGACACGGCACCGTGCCCTCGTGACAGATGTGACACTCCCCAGTGCAGAAAGAGGTCTGACCAGAATCTCAAGGCCACACGGGCCACATCCCAACAGAAACTAGTGGAGGAGGGGAAGGAGCGGGCTTTCTTAGGCACCTGTCCTTCAGGGCCCAGATGAGACAGGGTTCAGGGGCTGCTGTCAAGTAGAAAGAGACTCACAGGACCAGTCAGAGCCACGTCCTGGCTGAGACTCACCTCCAGGGTCTTGCAGTGGCCTGCAGGCCACCTGGGCTCTGGGGCTAGGGTGTTGGTGAGCAGCGTAGGAACCACTCCCTGTGCACTTGTCTCCACGGCGCTTCCCGCTGATGCGCCTGGTGCCCCAGCAGCCCCACTTCCTTCCCCAGAAACTCAAGGCAGAGAGAAGAGATGCCTGGGCCCCACTGCAGGCGCTTCAGAAACGGTGGCTCCTTCCTCCTTCTATTTGCCAGGTGGTGACGGCGGCGCCTGCCCAGAACCATCTGGAAGCCGGGGCTGGTTCAGGACTGCACTCTGGGCCGCCTGTGGCAGCATCCTGCACCCTAGGTCCTGCACCCTAGGTGCTCATGGCTCCTCCCAGTGGCCACAGCTGGGGGCTGGGGGACAGTGTGTGCGGTGCCACCTGGAACGGGCCTCCTCCTGCCTGTCTTGGCCCCTAGACCCAGCCCGGCTGCGGAGGGATGAGGAAGTCCCCCAACTGCAGCTGGAGGGATGGCCATGGGGCCTCGACAAGCCCAGGCCGGAGTCAGGATTTTTTTTAAGTCCCCAAACCACAAAATACCACTCTCTTTGCCTTCGTCTCCAGTAATTCCTTACAACTACACAGCAGGGGTGCAGAGTCGGGCCAGCTCAGCCGCAGGGCAATATCCACCCCGGGTCAGCAGGGCCTGAGCCAGCACCAGCCTCGCCCTTCAACCCAGCCTCCTCCTCCCCGGGACGTGGCCAGGAGAACCCGCACGCCAGGCCCCAGGTCACCTCCCTCCTGGCAAGACCAAGAACGTCCCCAGCTCAGATGATGGCAGACTTCTGACTGCCACTGTCTTGTGCGCATGCTACCCGCACAAACCTTTTCTCGGTTCCCTGGCGTCCACACCCTCCAAAGTGACCTCCAGGAGCCAGCTTAGCCCCTGGTGCCGGCTGGGCACCGTGCAGCCCAGACTGCTGCCTCTGAAACAAGGCCAAACCGCAGCAGCCCACACCCACCCACGGAGGACCTTTCCCTCGGACCATATGGCAGGACGAGGCCGAGACGGAACTGGGGGTGCCATTTGCTGCCAGGGCACTTCCTTATGCTCCTCGCGGTCACCAGCTCAGGATGGGCCCACCCCACTGTCTCGGCTTCCCTCAGGGCCCCACGCTCAGTGCCAGCCAAGGCTGCCCAGTCACGTCCTTGCTGAGGACCCCTGAGCTCTGCATGCTGGTACAGGAGGGACATGGTGGGTCTACAAGTGTGGGCATGGCCGTACCTGAGGCCGTCCAGGTGG